TCCGTCTGATTTCTCCTCTTTTTTACATCGTTTGGAGAGTTTGTTTAACACATATCTGACAACATACATGGCTTGTTGTGCGGTTAACAGACCATCCAACAAGTTGATGCTTCAGTTTTTTTCGGTAAGTGATATAGTAGTGTTATATTTACTGCTTACTCATGTGTTTATATTTACGGACCTAGCTTGTTTAGCGTTAGCTTGTAAACCAGTCGGCTAACTGTGTAGCTCATTATTTACATTATTTACGGTCAATGGTTTAGAAATGTTTGTTGTTAAGATGTTGTTGTTGAAAATAATGAGTTTGTGTGATGTTAGAAGCTAAAGGTTCATCTCGGTGGTTATCCACAGACTGTAAATATGGTTATCTGACGTTATGATGAATGTTATACTCCACGTAAATGTGGACATTAAAAAACAAACTTTGTGTAGTAATTATCTGTCAGTAACATAAACTGAACTGAATCTAATGTGCTGTGTAGGTTATAGAGGATGACATTAAAGTTACATGGTTGATGTAGTGTCTTAAGATTTGTACAAACTGTTAACAAATAAAAAAAACTTCACTTTGTAAGAGCATCTGTAACCATTAAGAACTATATTAATAACCATATTAATTTTCACTGAACTCATACACAGAATATAGCAGTAGAAATATAAAATATAAATAACATATGGAATGAAAATAAGATATAAAGCACATAGATATAAAGTATAAGAAATAGTTTGAAGAAGCCATGTACTGAGCTCATGTTAATAATAAATGAGTTACTGTATGTTCTGTACTGAAGCACAGAGACTGTTAATGATTTAAATAGTTCAGATTATATTTGTTTCATGTTAAGATGAAGTACTATCCACAATAAACTGCTTAATTTTTCCTCACAAAATCTGAGACAATTTGATGTGGAATATCATTGTGTGAGTGAGTGAGAGAGCTGAAAACAGCATGATTACAATAATGTTTATCTTCTTAACTTTGAATAGATGTTGATTACCTGAATACTGTACCTTTGTTGTCTGGGTAGTACACTGTTGAATTTATAAATGTGCTCTTACACACAGATGAATACCGAAAAATAGATGAGAACAAACAAAATGATTTAATGAATAACTGATTTTTTCTCTCTTTCTTTGCCATCCTGAAGACCCCTCACTAAAAGTCCACGTTCTCCTGGATCCATGTCACATGCTCGAGCTTCTTCTGAATGACTTTTCAACAGTTGAAGTTCTGCTGAGAGGAGATGGCCAGCAGATAAGACAGCAGTACATCAACGAGCTCCACAGGCTTCAGGAGGAGGAGGAGGGTTTGCACCTTGGAAGACTGTATTCATGCTGTTCAAATAAAACTAGATCTCCTCCAAACAACTCGCAATCAAACTATTTTCTTCCCATTTTAAAACCCTTTGTCCAGTTTAGATGGGAGAAGTTGATATTATGTGATATTGATCTACATTTCTAAATCATTTTTAACTGTGTTTTTATTCACAAGTTATTGATCTTATTTACTCTCCATGTACCTTGATTTAAGAATGGGGCTGTGTTTAAGGGCAAATTTTTGCAATGACTCTGTTCCATCCCACTTTAAGAAATGAACTGCATTAGTATTTATCAAAAGAATAAGAAGTTGTGTAAAAGTAGACTTCCTTCCCTAAGCTATTGAGTTGAGCATTAATCTGAAATGTATACTCATAAGTAGACATAAAGGAGTGCATTTATATAGAAATATTTATTTAATCTGAAAAACAACATTAAAAAAAGTCTGTTTTTACAGCAGAGATTAACATGTTTACAGCTTGGTACAAAACAAACAAATAGGTGTGATTAGCTCATGCTCCCTCACAGCGAGCTGTTGAAGAGAAGCAACCAAAGTCCACCCCAGAAGAACCAACAAATACAGATGTTGTTGAGGCTCAGGTTTCTTCCTCTGTCTCTGCAGCTCTCTGGGCACCTCGACGGACCAGTCACCAATAATCCACACTGTGTCTATAAGAGAAATACAAAGGTGTTCAATTAATGCCTCAGACAAGACAAAATGTACAGTTAACTACATGTGACATCTCAGGGTGTTTTTTTGTTATGAGCCACATCTGCAGGAATAATATTGAACAAGGTAGCTGCAACTCATCATAATGGATGCCAGTCTTAAATACTATTTTTTCTAATACTTAAAGTTTTTGGTGTGAAGCTGACACTGTCCACAGACTCCATGACTTCACGGGGTTCAATAGAAAACAAATGTCTTATAATAAATACTAAATAATTATTTTTCAATTGTCATGTTCACCTCATCGCTGTTGACATCAGTAAATATAAAACACAGACATTCCTCTTTGTCAGAACAGTAACATGAACTGTATGCTTTGTAATATTGATTTCTTCTGGATGTCTCATATTCACAGTTTATGGATAAAACTTTGTTAATGTATTTCTCTGCTAACACTGACAAAGTCTAACTTCTCTAACAAATAACTAATAACCATAGTTGTATATTTAAAAAAGTGTAGTTTTAAGACTTTAATTAAATATTTGTGTTGAATATAATTCGTTTTAACTGTGTTGTAGAAAAGTTAAATGTTAACTTACTGTTTGTAGAGTTTTCTCAGGACGAGCAGGAATAGTTGATGATAGCAGCCTAGCTGTTAGCTATGCTGTGAAGTGGACTGCGAACGTCGAGCTGAATGGGCGGAGCTAAGTCCCGCCGGTCCCGCCTTACTGCTGTTGCTAGGTTGATCCGAAGTTAGGTTGAGACTGCAAATCCAATATGGATGCGGCCGTCGATTGGACTCATTTTCTGCCTATGTCACAGACGGGTCAGGGTTCGTCCAGTAATATTTACAGTCTATGCTTCTGACTCAGTGCAACATCAAGGTTCCGTCAAAGCTTTCTCCAGGACTAAAAATGACATTTTACGAACATACACGGCTGCTATCTGCCAGCCTCGGTACCTCTCGTATGTAAATTGTATTTCATGTGTGGAGTTTCCATATTGCACGTGTCTATGATGTCTAGTCATGACGGGCCTCCATGCAGCTTCAAACCCCAAAGACAGAAACAACATTTTTGAAGCAGATTTAATAATCTTGCAAAAAAAAAAAAAAAAAAAGGCTATAATGCTTACTTTTTGCATTTGTTCATTTGTTTTACGCCTTAACCATGTGCTATGTTGTTAAATGTTGATGTAATGGTGTTATATTTGATCTGTAGTCTGCACAGAATGTTTTATTCTGAATATTGACCTGGATTCCTGCCACTCCTATGTATATCTTCCTGCGTGGCTCATCTGCTTGGAGCAGCTTGACGCAGCCAAACAGCGGCTCAAAAATAGACTACACGCATATTTTTAGCGCAGCAGTGCAGAGAGACGTTTCTGTAACGTGCTGTGTCGCATCTGGTGGGATCACATGCTCGAACTAGAGTGTCTGCCATCATAGCTCCAGCTATCTCATCACAGTGGGAACACAATAAAAAGCTGCATACAGTGGAATTTCGGGCTCTTGCCTCTTTCATGCATCATACATGAAGCGAGAGCTGCGCATCCCAGGAAATGTGTCCTGATCGCTTGTTGCTTTGGAAACACTTTTAAGGTTGTATCACAAGTGTTATGACAGACGAGCGCAGAGCATGCATGCATTTCCTGGTGAACCACCAAAAGGCTTGATTGATTTCACATTTCAGGCTCTACAATTTGTCTGCAACACATTATGCAAACACAATCATCACCAGGCAACTTCAGCGACAACTTGGTGAAGAGACAGACCGTTTTTACAGAGCAAATATGCCCATCTCTCAAGAAAATTAACACACTTTTTGCTGAAAAAAAAAAAAAAAAAAAAAAAAAAAAAAAAAGGTCAGACGAGATGACACAGAGGCAGCTGCAAAAGCTTCCCAATTCAAGAGCTCATCAGTATCTCTGTATGTGAAACAACAGCATCATCTGTGAAATGTAAGATATTTTTAACCGATTTCTTCTTTGATACAAAATGTTAAAAACATGCCAGTTTTGTGGAAAATTAAACTCCATCTTGGATAAACAATGCTTTTTTTTTCTCTCCTTTAACAGCAATCTAATTATTGGCAGCACATAGAAAGTGGAGTACACCAACTGGGATTTTAATAACTGTTGAGACGCCAGCTGTGAACTATTAAGACATGATGGTGATGACCAGCGGATTGAGAAATCAAAATCCCAAGCAACAGCCAGCGATGCCTCCCATACAGCTGCTCCAAATAATGATCGCTTGTTTCCTTACAATTGCCGTCTGACAGAACACCTTCTCACAATACGGGAATCCAAGACACAACATATTGGCATTCAACTCCTCACAAGCTAAATCACCAGGCATAAAAGAAATGGATGCCTAACAAAGCTGGTGCCTGACATGTCGAAGGATGAGGCAGCTTTTGTTACTGGTGCCTGTTGCATATGTAAGATGTCCACATTGGGGGGGGTTTTATTGACCAATGAAATACTTTTTTGGTCTTCCCAATGGATTGTTTAAAAGAAGTAGATGTGGAGCCAGGTCAGGGGTGGGTTAAACCACAAATATTTGTCACAGCCAGCAGGAGGAAAACTCTGATTGTATAAAAAGTCTATGAGAACATGATAACATAGTAAAGCTTCAATTAACAGACCGGGCTTTGATTAACTTCAGTGTATGACGTGACGCTGCCTTTATTTGGGACGAGCGTCAATAAGAGACGGGCCTTTAATTATTTTCAAACAAAACTCAATCACAGCAAAGATGTGAAAGACTATAAAATGGTAAAGTCACACCAGAAAGAATAATAAACTGTGTACAAAATAAGGATATCAATAAACATGTTTAATTTAAAATCACTTAAGTGATCTTGCTTTGTAAAAGATTTGTGCCAACCTGCTGCACTGAGAGAGAGAGAGAGAGAGAGAGAGAGAGAGAGAGAGAGAGAGAGAGAGAGACTCTGCCAGATGTTTCATCACAAGCGTAATGGCGTTGACAGCATGAAGAGGTTTTACTCACCCTGTACCAAACAATCTCTCGAAGCCTCCCGTCAGTTTTGAAGTTACACTTGAGAGTTACAGTCTCACCCACGACAACCGGAGGCAGGGGCTCTATGGTTACTGTCAAATATCCTGAAACAAAACAGAAAGGAAATTAGTTTTATTGCATCTTACAAAGGAAAAAAAACAAAAAAAACACTTTGCCTTAACTGGATAGATTTTTTTTGTTTTTTTGTCGTGCTGCCCATAAATGTTAGACAACAGTAATAAAGCAGTCATGAATTTAGAGTATCCCAAACCTTTTAAAAAGCTTAAGGTTGCCTGAGTCAACATTCACTTTTGGGAAATTGCTGTGATTCATTCTCATGCAATTACACAACAAGCTCACCTCCCACGGGGGGGTTAGGTGTCTCACTAAACACAACTTGAGTTGCTCAAGCATTCATTTCTCTGCGACCTTCTGATGTTTCTTCATCTGGATCGGAGATGAAAACAAACAAACGAGACTGAGTACTAACATGCCCTAACTTCACTATAAGCCTTTTTCTTTTCATATAAGACATAGCCGTTAATCCAAACAATAACTCTGTCTGCCTCTCACATTAAATTACCGCAATGCAGAAGTTATCCATGAGTTTTTTCCCACCTGCCAAATCCGTTTAAGCTTATTGAATGAAGTAGGTTCTTTGGCCCTGAATAAACATGCTCAGTCATTAAAAACCTGCGACAGAAGCGATGACATTTGACCTGCATCACACTTCTAACAATGGTTGTGAATAACTGATCACCAGTAAAAATAAAGAACAAACAAGCGGTGTGAAAAATAAAAGAAAAAGAGAGTTGTGTGTAAATTATAAATTTTTCAAGGATACTATTGGGTTGTTGTGAACAAGAACAGCTAATAAACAGAGTGGACTATGAGACAGAAGAGACGGCTAATTGTCACCGTGCAGTTTGTAGCCTTGAGCTTCCCCCAAACAATCAACAGTTCTGCAGAAATGACTGACTTAAAGCTCCTGTTTGAAGTTTTGAGTAGTAATTGACAAAAGTGAAATTAATAGGGACGCATGTTAATGAGCTACCAAAGCAAACCAGACCATCAGCATACAAATGGACTATTTCTAAATAGTTTGTTTTTTTTCAAGCCTGAAGCCACTGCTTAAGGAGTCAGACAAAGTGGTGAGTTACCTTTTATTTGTACACTTCTCCTGGAAAACATTCATAATAAGTGTCACTTTTGACCTTAAAAATAAATAAAATGGAGAGGTTTTTTTTGTTCTCTAACTCCCAGATGGAGGTCATTGGGCTGAAACGTGGCTGCGTTTTTACACTCTTTTTCCTATCCTTTCCACCTTAACCTCTCCAACACAAGTGTGCCCGTAACCGTTTCAGAGACCACTCAACTACCAAACAGAGGTAAGCCGGTCAACTGTTGTTTTTTCTGTTATTTGTCCCCACTACAGCGCACCTTGTATTACTCAACTCTACCCGACACACAGTGAGCACGGCAGCTTCCATTCATAGGTTTTTTTTGTTGTTGTTAAAAAAATTATTACTTTTATATGTACAGGTTATGACAAACGGGATAATCACTTGTGTTGAAAAATGAAGCCAATGCAGGAGTACAAAAACCTGCAGTTCCTGTAGTGTCCACATGGGGCTGGATGGACACATTCATGTTACAAAGCCAGTTTTTACAGCAGAAATGATCATGTTTACAGCCTGGTTCAAAACACAAATTTGGTCTGAATAGTTAATTTATTTATTGGCACACGCAGTAGGGGAGGTATGTTATTTTAACTCAACAGCTTTGATGAAATCAAGGCAGAGAGTTTTTTAAATAATCTGACTGATGTATGGGGTGTTGTAGCTGTTTGTGAGGAGGCTTAAGGTATACCGCAGATCCATCCCTCTTAGTGCTTTCACACTTACAATAAACTCTTGATATTTGCAAGAGGAGTTGAGTGTGTGAAAGCAAACAGCAGAATTTTTTCACTTTCATCAGGAGTTTCTTTCCACAACCGCGCACAAACTTAGACTGTATGCACGCAAACACTACGATTTCTGTGCAATCGCACCCTCCCATCTAGAAAAAAGAGCAAGTGTGAACGACCAGACCAGGGGGAATTCAGCGGCAGAAATGTTCAGTAGTCCATACAGGCTTTTGACTGATACTAGGTTGACAGTAAGTAAGTTTGAGACTCATCACCAAAATGGCGACATCCACCAATGGGTTTCAAAAGTCAGCTGGAGAAACTAATGGGTGACATCACTGAGGTGACATCCATATTTTATACAGTCTATGGATAAAAGGTACTGCTTTTGTCTACATGTGGTGTCACAATTGACACAATGCAAAAGTTCCTGAGAGGAGCTTTACGTTCTAAGGCTTCTGTAAACAAAAGACACACACTGATTAAAGCAACACACATTTATAAATGATGCACAGGCCAATTAAAAAAACTCAAAAGTGAAGGAAATATGGGAAAGAACTGTCAAATGCAAGGGCCGACTTTGCAGAGATAAAGTTAGACACAGATTTTAAAGAGAGGTTCGGCTTTTCAAAGAAAAAAACTAGAGTGTCTGATGGAGTCATGACCTTGCTGCATTATACCTCATCTTCGTCCTCTTGCACAGCCGTCTACACAATAATGCATGCACACACCTGCAGGTAGACTTCCATTAAGGTGAAACGCACAATAGTGCAGCACATCAGCATAGAAATGAGATCAAATCTCTCAAAATGAAAATAGGTGGATACAAAGGCAATTACCAGGTGATAATGACATGGGAGTAAAAAAAAAAAGAAAAAGAAAAAAACATCCAAAAACTGGAGGGAAGGAAATTAAATGAAGACTGTGAGGTAAAGGCATTACAAAGTCTGGGGGAGCTCAGTGTGGTTTCCAAAAATACATCTGTTAAATCTATGTTAAAATGAACCTAGTTTACATATGAGTGGAAAAAACATCTTTTTATGTGCTGCAGCGCAGGCCATTCTGCGTGGGCCGATTTCCACCGACAGACAGCAGCACCTCTGCCCGACATAATGGCAGTTTCAACACATTCGGTATTTAATGAGGGGATTGTATCTTGTAAAACAGATGGATATGACAGTAACAATATAAAACAGAGTAATATGGGACCTCGTGACCAATAATTATGTTGGTAAAAGGACATAAAACGCTGTGAGGGCGTGAGGCTCTTGCAGAACTCTGCAGGTGATTACAGCAAAGAATGAAAGTGTAGAGATAAAGAGAGATGTGACCTCAGTCTGACACCATGTAATGAAGATCTCATTCCGGGTTAATGGTAAATATCTGAGAGGCCTCTGTGTGGGCTTTATTCACAGTGTTTCTTTTTTCAAATAATAAAAAGTGAGTTTGAAGATCTTTACAGTTAAGTTTTCATAGCGACGGAAAAACAAAACATTCTGAGGAAATGCACTCGCAGCGTGCACATGCACTGTTTTGTAATCTATTGAAGTTTCTGAAATCCAAAACAGTGACACTCAAAGTGCATCTTCAACCCGCCTGCTGAGTCTGCTTATGTTGACTCCACCAAAGTTTTTAACCATCAATGCAACTTAACAAATGTGTTTCTTCTTATTGATTGTAGCAGTGTGGGCCGGCAGTGTCGAAGGACTATAACAAGAGGAGCGTGGGTTAGGAATACAGAGATTTGTTGTTTTTTTCTCTTTTTGTTTTCTACACAAAGCCGCACAGAATGTCTTCATGCAGCTCGCACGGCAATTCATCTTGGATCATTTTCTGAGTAGCTAACACTTCTGTGCAGAGCATCTCACTAAACAAAATGGAAGCCATATCAGGCAGTGAGTAATCAAACTTAAATAGTCAAATAAAATGATATATCTGTAATTCACACTTGCATTTGTTTTGAACGCATGTGTAAACAGCCGAATATTTTACTCTGACTTTATCAGGAGTTTCTTCAGCAGAAAGTTAGAGTGAGCTGATGTAACCCACACATTCTCTGTCCGCGCTGCAGTCCGTCAGCACCACGGTTTTGCTCTGTCAGACGCCGCACGCCCTGCCCCACTGGATCCGTTTCCGGAACGTGAGCGCAGCCATGATCAGCTGTACACACATCACAGGGGAACTACAAGATCACGCGGAAACAACAAGGAAAACGTGCAAACAACATGTTGCTTTGTCTTTCGTTCGATGCCTGTTTTGACATTATGTTGATAAAGTGATGGAAAACACGATTGTGAGTCTGTATATTGTGTTTTATTTTGAAATTGACCGGATGCTCTGCACGTTTCCTTGTCTGACTTCCTGTCCGGGTTGTTCTATTCTCTTCAACTTGACGTGTGCCTGCAGCGTCCTCCGCCGAAAAATAGACTCGCAGCATTTTGGCAACGAACGGCGGCATAGTGTGTGGCGCTGAGGGACTGCGGCGCCATGGAGTATATGGAAATTGGGGTTGAGAACAAAGCAGGATACAATCAGGACGATTCACCTTGAGCTACTGGGAGGGGCTGGTGAAGTTTATTCCCTGCGATCGGTGCACGACCAAAGACTGCATGTGATTGGTTTGATCTCTGTGAACTTTATGAAACTGCTGCGTTACATTTTCTGTTCACCAGTATGTCCCACTAACATACTGCTTTGTCTACAGGGGGCGCCACAACACAAAAGATCCTCAGAGGAGAAGTTTTAAGGCTTTTGTTAATTAAAGACTCCAAAAAATTAGAAAGCAAACATTTTTTTAATCAAATTTTATATTTGTATTTCAGTCAAACATCTCACAGTGTTTGAAACATTCACTGCAACAAAACATCGCTTGTGTTTGACATTCAGGCTCTGACCTCATCACTCGTCGCAGTATTAATTTTACATGTTTAAATTTGCGCAGTGATGGGACGATTTCTTAACCCCCACCCCCCCCAGTAGGAGCCTACAGATGGAAGCTGTGGTGGTGGTGGTGTTGGTGCTGAGTAAGAGAGCAGTACTGCTGCAGGTCAGAGCGGACAGTGAAGGAGCAGAGGGAGAGACCTGAAGTCTTGCAGCTGAAATAGACCGCTAATTGGAAGGAGGTGTCGTCAGGTGATTGTAGATAATGACGCATGTCAGGTGTGAAGCTGGTGCAGCTTGAGTTGTCTGTCTGAACTA